TTAGACACTACACTACCAGAGCTCTTTTATTTATTTATTTTTTTTTGGTTTTTGGTGTGTAGTTGTCCTCATTTGTCAATTGATGTCTCTGGTTCCGTGTTTACAATCTTGTAGGCTTATTTACTTTGGATACTTCCATAGCTGGGTTGGTTTCTGAGTTATGTCATCATGTGTGTTAGTGGTCAGTTGTTGTTTGCTGTTGTTGCTTCTCTGTCCAAAGGACTCCCTTTAGCATCTCTTGTAAGGTTGGTCTGGTTTTAAAAAATTCCCTTAATTTCTGCTTATTTGGAAATGTCCTAATTTCACCATCTTATTTGAGGGACAATTTTGCTAGGTACATCATTCTTGTTTGGAAATTTTTCTCTTTCAGGGTTTTATATATATCATACCATTTTCTTCTCGCCTGTGTGGTTTCTGCTGAGAAATCCGAGCTTAGTCTTATTGGTTGCTCCTTGTAGGTAACTTCTTGGTTTTTCTCGTGCTGCTCTCATGATTCTTTCTTTGTCTTTGGTTTTGGTAAGTTTGATGATGATATGTCTGGGTGATTTTCTTTGGAGTCTATCCTGTTTGGGGTTTGTTGGCTTCCTGAATGGATATATTCTCATCTTTCATCATACCAGGAAAATTCTCTTCCAACAAATCTTTGACAATTTTCTCTGTGGTTATATTTGTCTCTTCCTGTTCTGGAATTCCAGTTACACGTAGGTTATTCCTTTTGATGGTATCCCACGTGAACCTTAGGCTTTCTTCATTTTGTTTGGATCTTTTTTTCTGAATTATCCCTTTCCAAAGAAGTGTTCAGGTATTTGCCTTCAATCTCCCTAATTCTGTCTTCCATTGATTCAGTTCTGCTCCTTTGCCCATTCAATGTCTTATCTATTTCTGAAAATTTAGTATTAATCTTCTGGATTTCTGTGTGTAGATTTTATATCGTTTCTAATTTTTCATTTATTTTGTCATTTTGTTCTTGTATTGTTTTTTGAAATTGTTCTAGGGTTTTCTCTGTGTTTTCCTTTATCTATCTCTCAATTCGTTGAAGATACCTAAATATAATTCTTTTGAATTCCTTATCAGGGAGTTCCAATGCTGCGTCTTCCTCAGGGATGTGTTTTGGATCTGTATCCTGTTCTCTTGTTTCTCCTGCTTTATCTTCCTTCTTTGTGTGGACTGTGATGCTCTTTTGTTTCTGAGGTATTGTAACGTTTTTGTGTTTATATTTAATTGGTGATTGTATGTTGGAGTGACTTGCCCACGATTTTCATTTTCTTTGTTTTGTTTGTATATTATCTACGCAAGCAAGGTACTGTGCTCCTCTATTCACTAGTTGACAGCACTTATCCACTCACCAACTGTCTCCTTTCCTGTTGTCAGCCTCTCATATGTCCCTGCCAGCCTTGGCAACAGAACCTATTCTTAGTGAGATGCTATCACTTTAAAATCCTAAATGGTTGCCACTTGTAAAGATTCAAAATGGCTGTGCCCTCGGTCACTTTAAATATCCAAAATGGCCACCACTTTTAAACATTCAAAATGACTGCACCCTCCATCACATTAAATATCCAAAATGGCCACTGCTCATAAACATTCAAAATGGCTGCACCCTCAGTCACTTTAAATATCCAAAATAGCTGCCACTTGTAAACATTCAAAATGACTGTGCCCTTGATCACTTTAAATATCCAAAATGACTGCTGCATGTAAACAATCAAAATGGCTGTGCCCTCCAGACAGCAGAAAGTCAACAGCTCAGGTTGTCTCCCTCCGTGCTGTTTCCCTTCCTAGTCATAGGCCACCAGCACAGTCGTCCCTGCAGCCCTGGATGACCAGGGCTGATCTTTA